AACAAATTCCAAATTGATTAAACTTATTAAAACTGAACTATATTTTCTAGCTTTGTGCCAAATTATAATCTGAAACTTGACTTATAAGTAGGCTTAAATCGAGAAAAACTCGTAACCAGGAAGTACAACCATTTTGTTACATTGGCGTTCCGTTAAAATACGTGTAACTAGTTAATTGTGGAACAGTGATAAAGTTCCAAGATTTAAAAACTATGTTTAATTTAAAAGAAAAAAGATAAAATAACCATTAAAGCATATTATTTACACACTTGATCAAATATGAAACAAAGCTTGAATTGCATTAATACTGAACCGAGAAAAAATAACTCATGTAGAAAACAGCATTTTGAAGTTCAATATCCTTAGTGCATAGTGCATGTTTTTAAATAACTTTTGATTCAAAAGATGACGACATGAATGAACCATGTGATACAAACAACTTGGCCATATTTTTGTACATTGGTATAAACTTTATAAAAGCTTGACGGATCAAAAATATTTTTTTGATAATTTAATATAAACTTTGATGTGGCCTGCTTCATTTGGAAGTGGAAAAACGACAGGCCGCGCACTTGGGGGTCTTGGGCATGCTCCAGGAATTTTTTTGTCATTGAAGACGTTATTTGCAATCTGAGCGTTTTAAGAACCATAGATAGTTGTTTTCTGATATAAAATAGCATTTTTTGAAGTTTCACCAAGGAATCTTATCAAAAAATTGGGCAGTTTCAGAGGGCGTGTGTTCGTGTGCGAGGAAAAAAATTGGCAAAATTTGAAGGTATATGGAGTACAGGGAGTACAGAATTAGTACATTATGCAAGTGAATGATGGGATGGACAATCCAAATTAGTTTAATGTGATACGTTTGTTCATTGTCTATCATAGGTCGTTGAAAATATCCATCGAATAACTGTGGAGCTTTTTTCTTTTAACCATAACTTATGTTATATGTTTATCATATTTTTCTAATCACAATAAAGAATTCATATGATAAATTGACTATTTTATTTATCTGAAAAGTAGGCTAAAGCCAGGTTCTGTACATCAACGTATTTTTAACACAATGTACAAGTTTTCCCGTTCACATAATGACAAATGTTCATGGCCTTACTTTTCAAATATAAATAGCAGTTTGATCAAGCATGGGAAAGACTGAGTCATTTATGTTGATGACTCGGACTGGTATCAGGGATATCTTAAAATATCGAACGAAAAAAGGAAAAGCAGTTTTCTAGAAAAACAAATTGTTTCCAAGAAACTACCTTAAGACTGATTTCGACTTCTTTCTGAACATGATAAACTCCTGTAATGAACAATTGTCATCTGGCCTTATTTATTCTAATATTTTAATTAAAATATGCTTGGCCATGGGTGATAAAGCTTTCATTGACTGGGAAAATAAACAAGGTCATATTTTAGATCAATGTGTAAAGAAATATCTGAAAGCAGTTTGTATTCCTTATAATAAGGATAATATTGATGTAATTTTAGTGACCGTATTTTAATTTTGACTGTAATTGTATAAGCATGTTTGTATGTGGATGCACCGCATTTTCAATGTGTGTGCCACTGTTTTAAAACTGATTCCAATAAATAATAACAATAAAAAATATATGTTTCATCCTTTATATTTTATTTCATAAACTACATGAAATAGGATGAACAAATTAAGCTTTAAGTAGTGCATTGTAAAACTCATTCATTTATAAGATTACCGATATAAGTTTGGAGATAATATGTCTGATATATTTGTCAATATAAGTTTAGATCAGGCGTATATTTTACAATATGGACACATCCTACGTGTCTTTTGCTGTCTAGAAAAACAGTTATACATATACAGGGTGGGCCAAAAAAGACACCCCTAGCCGATATTCCTGATAAATATTCATTTTTAACATATACACCAACAATGATATATCATTTTAAAGATAATTCAATTTGCAACAAAATGATATATAATAGAACAATTTTCAACAACCCTGGCTCGAGATATAACCATTTATGTGACATGGGGGTCAAAAAATACCTTTTCAATTTTTCACTGATTTTGCAAATAATAGCCTATTTCTACCAAATTTTACTGTTCAGTTAAAAATTGCAACATTGTCATGAGTCTTTCATAATTGGATATTATATATTGTTTTCATTCAGTTTTTGAACCATGCATGCTCAACAAACATGTGTATGCTTATAAAACAAATTATTTTCTTCTTAAGTCTGTCCAAATATGGCTCAATAGACCCACCTCCCAGACCCATCCTCTGATCGGATTATTCGCTAAAGACGCGAAAGCCATTGGTATAATTGATGGATCTATGCGGAAGTACCATCAAACTCCTAATTATTCATTCTATCAGTTTGTCTACATCCCTGATAGGCTAGTGATCTTCATAGACCAACTGTTCTGAATGCCCTAAGTACTATAAATGTAATCAACAGGATTTACTCTATATATCAGTAAGCAAGAATAGGGACATTTGCGATAAAAGGCTACTCAAATCGAGATGACATTTTTCTAAAAGGGTAGTGGTGTCCACTCGGTGTTTCCCAAAAAGGAAAGACTGTACAGGCCCTGTTTTTGTTGAACCTGGAGCAAAAATATACTCTGAATGTTAATGACATGAGGTGTTAAAAAGGACTCCTCAAAGATATAAAAAAACATGTGAAAGGAATTTCATTTTCTGATAGGAAAGTGCTTCTTCACACAGGTCCAATGCTACCCTGGAGTTTTTGGAGATTCGCACTGACAAATGGCTTACTGACAGTCCAGATGCCAATAATGTTGATTACCATACCTGGGGGCATCTAGAACAGTTGGTATTTAAAGATACCCAGCCTATCAGGGATGTAGAGGAACTAAAAAAAGAATAACTAGCAGTTGAATGGTACTCCGCATACATCCATCAATTATACGCCATCAACCAATGACTTCCGCGTCTTAAGCGAATAATCTGATCAGAGGATGGGTCAGGGGGGTGGGTCTATTGAGCCATATTTGGACAGACTGAAGAAGAAATTAATTTGTTTTATATAACCATACACATGTTTATTGGGCATGCATGGTTCAAAAACTGAAAAAAAAAAATATTCAATTATGAAAGACTCATGACAATGTTGCAATTTTTAACTGAACAGTAAAATTTGGTAGAAATAGGCTATTGTTCGCAAAATCGATGAAAATTGAAAAGGTTTTTTGACCCCCATGTCACATAATTGGTTATATTTCTATATGGGGTCGTTGAAAATGGTGATATTATATATCATTTTGTTGCAAATTAAATTATCTTTAAAATGATATATCATTGTTGGTGTACATGTTAAAAAATAAATATTTATCAGGAATAATGGCTAGGGGGTGGTTTTTCTGGCCCACCCTGTATGTATAGCTATAGAGGCTTCCCGGTGCCCTGTAGATCCTGGCGGGTGTCGTACGGTCATCGACAGATAGCCTTGCGATACCTTTGCGATATCCTGCAGATTTAATTGCGGGCGCCGTACGGTGCCTCTACTAAAGTGATCATATTCACGATTAAACCAAGACATCAGTGAAACGTCACCGACGCTCGTCGATTTAGAAATCGGCCGATGACTACTCATCGGCCGGCGCAAATGTGACCTTGGCATTACGAAAGCCTCGGCGGCCCGCTGAATGCTGGTATGTCATTGAATGCAGATACTGTACATTTGAAAAGTATCAACAGTATCCATGTATTTTTATCCTATATGAATAAAAGTATCCACTGCCGTTTTTATGTGAAAAAGTGTTAATCATCTGACTTGCCCCGAAGATTTCATATGAAGACTACACAATAAATAGAGGATATCCTATGATTTATGAGTGATATGATTTTTATCCACGAATGGATATGATATCTGCACGAGCGAGCGTAGCGAGAGAGTGTAGATATCAATATCCATGAGTGGATTAAAATCATATCACGAGTAAATCATAGGATGTTCTTTTTATTCCATAGTTAAAGTCATCATCAGAATCGTCGGAAATTAAGTTATTCAATTCGAATTTCCAAACAATCCGGCGATGTTGACACTTAGCCTCGTTTTGAGTCTGAAGTAGCAAAAATCCATAAACCATCGCATACGACGTCGTATGTCATGGCTAAAAAATCGTATGTTATGGTTAAGTGAAAATTTGTCAAAAATATCATATTTTACCACTGATTACAAAAATACCGTTTTTATTTTTACATGTTATCCTATGAATATCATGCTAACTATGGAATAAGTACAGTTATTTAAACTTTTGTGGAGTGGAATCGTAAATTGTGATAAGTATGTTTTCTCCCATTTGACACTTTGAATTCTTATGTTTATGGATTATGGCGACGTCTTCGCAAATGGATGTTGATCCTTTGCGATGGGCTGATATTGGCAATTACTACAGATTTGATTGTTTGTCAGCTTTCAAAACTGGTTTTGACTTATTCGTTAAACTTCGAGTCTATATAGTTAGCCATCGAGGTAGTCATAATTGACAAATGTCCAATAGTTAAAACTTGCAAAAGGTGATTCAAGTATAACTTCAAATATATAATGCTTTAGAAAAAAGATCAGCGGTTTAAAACTATGTCCATCTCATACAGTGTACTTTCCTAAACGGTTTTCATATTTTCAAAAACGACAAAATACTTTGTAAATCTTTACGTTTTCTAACGTTCGAGGCATATTTAACATAACCTTAAAGAGAGCCTGTGATTAGCCTGCGCAGCTTGACATGGGCTCCGTGGTAATGCTGGTAAAAATGACACGGTCATTGTTTGATCGACTCGATAGATCTTGCCATCATGTAGTATAACAACAGATGCAAAACAGGCTTGATTAGATAACATAGTGGTGGCCAATTGCAGAGTCGCCAAATTATCGAGACATAAAATACGTAAAATAAGTAGTTGACCGTAACAAGAATTAAATTTTACGAATATATCTGTCCGTCGCCTGCTGACAAACACCCGTTCAACAGTACAATTTCCACTTGGATTAACCGAGACTACATTATTATTCACAGTGATTGCATTTTAAGTATACATATATATTTTTTATCGCCCCAGATGCCATTTCCTGACATATTAGTCATACAACCAGAACGTTGGTCAAGGGCGTAACAGGTAGGATTTTCTTATTGACTTTTGTGAATTTTTCTAATATTATTGAGGTATTTTTCCGTATTTTGATAATGCAGTTTTTATCATATATATATTATAAGCTAAACTTAATTTTTCATATTATTTTAACATTGAATCGTGATAGCCGAATCTCTGAAAACATATTTTATCAACTTCATTCGTAAAAAAACTTTGGGAAACTAATGCTGCTAATGTTAGCTTTCATAGTGGTTGGATGGTTAATGATGAAATCTAAAAATAGATGGATAAGATTTATTAATGTATAGTTTGAGATTAATAATAATTGCTAATAATTGCTAATATGTACTAATTATTTGGAGACTAAGTTGTTTAATTGGGACATAGAGTAAATTGATTTTATACTACGAAAAATTGTCAGGTTATGTACGTTCGAGTTTATAACGTACATCCAATTTTATGTTTCCTCTTCCTGCTGCCATATTTGAATGGAATATTTTAAAATAAAATCTATACTTGAAATTCTGTCTGCGCAGAAACCCCGAATGCTGTCAAAATCACTTTATTTTCTATAGTATTAGGCCAAAATATAATTAAACTCGTGTCATTCCTAAATCGTTCAATATGTCTATGTATTTAATATCAGAACACGACCCTAATCCTCAAATCATTATGGAAGACCAACATCGATATACCTGTAAGTCTAGAAACATTTGTCAAAAATGAACTTGGATCAACACTTCAAGAAATTCAAAATAAAAGATACAGCATTTGTTCAAATTTGGACAATGGAAACGAATAAAGGTACAAGAGAAAGAGCGAACATAGAATATTGCAAATTGTGGAAGTTGAACAAGAGAATTTTTTTCTCTTGAATTTTTCAACACTTGGGTTGAATTTGACATGTGGAACGAATAAGGCATTAGTATTAAAGTGAGTTAAAGCACATAAAGAAAGACCACAAAATGTTCGTAATGATGAAAACTCTCCCAAATCTACAGAAGTAAAGGATGCGAACTGGAACCATCTGCCCGGATTGACTCAGAACTGAAGCACAAACGTTTGAGAAACCAGTTTCCGAAGAAAGTCCACATCTACTCATTTTATTGACACTCTAATACCCAAATTCAAAGAAATTGATCCAAACATTGTTACAATTAATTTTCTGCAGTAAGTTATTAATCACATGTTGTGACGTATGCAAACAGGGTGATTTCAATGACAAATTGACGATAACAAAACTCAAGGCCTCCAATAATATAACTGACATCGTTGATGTCATAACATTCATCTGCTGAACCAGATGCAGATTGCTAATTTGATGATTCTGTTGCCGAGATAGATGATGGAAACCGGTATATCATTCAATACAATACAGTGAACTATGATGAAACTGATCATGATGTTGAAGATGAGAAAGTTAAATTGAGGACAAAGAGAATTAACAGTTTTTTCCAATGGCCAAATCAAGAAGACATTAAATGGGTGATCAGAACCCGAGTGCTTAATGAAATAAATGAGCAATGAGCTGGACGCAAATTTGGTCGGATTTGTGAAATAACACGGCTTATGATATAAAACCTATCGTACAGATGATTAGTACGAATAAAATGTGACATTGTCAGTGCTGCAAGCGTAGCTAAATACTATATATATATATACAATAATATCACAACATTCTAGGCCATTGCGTTATTGAATGAAATTGTACCTGTCCGATAGTGTTAATTAATTTTTTGTATCATAAACCACCATTGTCGTCTGATTAGAAATCATAGTTTTGTACGTTATTATTCAGTATTTGATTTCGGGGACAGCTGTGACTTAACCGTGACTATGTATAAAGTACGAAGGAATCTGTATCTAACAAGAAGTTCATCAGACTAAATTTGAAAAGAAAATTGAGTAACATGATTTCCTTATTATTGACTTAGGCGTAATCAAAGATATTGTATTTTTAAAAGTTCCATAAATGAAAAGTTTCATTTTATAGTTCATCAAACCTAACGTTTGTTTGAAAAATATAAAAGGCATTCAGGAAAAATATTCATGTGTAGAGTTACTGGAAAACCATCTAAAAATAAAAAATGGATGCATTATCTGATTTGCTATATCCTCAATTGCAACACAGTACCCTGATACCGAATAAAACCTAGATCACGTACATAACATGTTGACTTTTTCAAATAAAGGGGTACCATATTTCAACCATTGTTAAGATCAATAATGCTAATGATTAATTGCCAATTTTTGGATTCTTCCTCCCAAGATATTGTATATTCCCATGGCATGTATCACTTTCAAACAAATCGGGAAAACTTTAATTTTCGAAATTTTCAAATGCCAATTGCACGCTTATATCTGGAATGGGCGAAATATGCTGCAAAAATCATTGAAAAATAAAGAGGTATTGGTCTCCAAAGGCAACTTATGATTTCTCCTGACAAGTTAGATGAAATGACAATTACATATGAATAAATAAATAAATTACATGTATTTGAATGTATGCTTTTCCAGTTTGACCATACTTGGCAAGGACGTTCACAATGTCGTCATTCGTCTACTTTATTGCAGTCATCTTGCTTGCTGCGGATTCGACTTTGGGTAAATCATTTCCTTCATTGTGTCGATTATCTCATTAATTCATCTTCATAAATTACAATATTCTAGAGAATTAAATATATTTTGAACCACATATTTTCATTGACGATCATTTTCAGCTTTTTCATCAAATGCACATGTGGTTAAACATAGTATTTATAAAAATCACACCGAAAATGATAATGTATCCTGTCTGGATACTTGCGGGATATTATAGGACTATTATACACACATCCTTAAGAATCCGTGATTAATTATTTCTAGGTATCACGATTTCTGAGATTTATGGATATTATTGAGAGACTGAACACTGATTATCCTGAAATATCTGGATACTACTGATATACTTCTCGTTTTTTCACGTATACTTAGGGATACAACTAATATATGTTCGGATACTCACAAATACGGCTGAATATTCAACCATTTTTTGGGATATTTAGGGATAATTTCCGAATATTCATGAATACGGTTGGGATTTTTACACATACAGCGCAAGGATATTTTGAATCACATTACCTCACAAACTCAAAGAGACCTATTCACATATATAAGCTTAATGTCTACATATCTATGTAATACCCAGCTAGACAATACATATACAGGATTGACCAAAAATCACCCCCCTAGCCAATAGTCCTGATAAATATTTATTTTTTAACAAACACACCAACAATGATATATTATTTTAAAGATAACTTAATTTGCAACAAATTTTATATAATAGGACAATTTTCAACAACCCTGGCAGGAGATATATAGAGATTATCCAATATGAGGTTCAGGATATTGAGATTATCCCGAGGCCAATATAATGTATCTGCCCGAGGGCTGGGGGGTAGATATATTATATCGCCAAAGGGATAATCCCAATTGCATGAACCGACCATAGGATGATCTGTTTATCGCATACCAATCTTGGTTATTTGGTTCACATTGTTCAACTGGCCACGGTTCAGAAAATTTCCAACCAACCGTTGTTCTTTCAGAAATTCATCTACATTTATTTTCTCGAATCTTTGGTTATTAACAGGTATATGTATGCTCCTTCCCTTCTTTAAACCATCAAACAGATCGCGATTGTCTGCGTTTTCTCCAATGTCGTTTACAGTTATTATGCGAACGTTACAAAAATGAACCAATATGCGAACGGCGATTACGACGTTTATGTAGCGGAACGATATAAGATTCAAGATTCAAGATTTTATTGTGTTTCAAACCAAACACAAAATCAATTACAAGACATTTACATATAATTATACAGTTAAAAAACAACATGCATTGTTTCACAAATACTATCATACAATCTAATTTTTTCCTTTTCAAATAGCTCCCGACGCTGATTAAAAAGTTTATTTATAAAATGTATCAATTCGTTAACAATTTCAAAATCATCAGAAGTCATTAAAAGTTATATTTTTCTTCATCCGACATATTATCAAATGTGTCAATAAAACTTAGTTCATTAAAAAATTCAAATCTACATTTTTTATAGCCATCACACACAAGAAGAAAGTGCTTTTCATCTTCTACTTCCCCCTTATTGCAAATCTGACAAATTCTTTCATTTATTTCAAGTCGATGCTGTTTAGTGCCATCTTTTTTCTTTTTCTCGTGTCTCCCTGTTTCAATTCTTAAATTATGGTTTGCTAATCTAAAGCTATAATTGGCCGCTGATGAAAATATAAGTTTTAACAAACAGGCTTTATGTACCTGTAACACGTCCAAGAATGGGATAAAACCATTTGTGCGACACGGGGGTCTCAATTTTCATCAATTTTGCAAACATCAATGAAAATTGACTATAGTGCTGCCATCTTTCAATGAGTGACATGTGAATTATTATTCTATACCTGTATACATTTCTTCTTGAAGGGAGACCGATTTCTACATTATCCAGATCATCTTTGTTTTATGCATGGAGTTTTCCTAAGTAAAAATGTGTATATGGAGCCGTGTTTTCTGAAAAGCTCATGGGACATCTGTCATAATGTGTTTTAGTTGTACCTCTGCACTGAAGATGTTTGTCAATATCAGCATTGGATTGCATATATTGAGGATTGTGGAATGATGTTTCCAGTCTTTAACAATATTTGGTTTTATATATATTTCGAAATCGGGAAAATAGAAAACGTTTCCATTATTTTTCGGTTGTTTTTATTTTCACTACTTCAAAGTTTGCGATACAAAATCTTTAATTTGCATTACTACAATTGAAGAGATTCACAAAACTAGCTATGTTCACCCCGTTTATTTATTGATATCTACATTGTATATGGTGCATTCTTAGCATTTCAAACTATAATTTGTTATGTTCTTTCAACAAAGGACAAGTCTCGGTCTCCTGGGCTTATAATTCTTTTCATGAAAAAGACAGAAATATCAACCAAATTATATTAGATTATGAATATTCAAAAGAGGACATTTAAATCTACAAGATGTAAAATATAATAATTGTCCAAAGCGCTCTCTTTCGAGTTAACACATCGACAACAAGAGATTCAATTCCCCCATTACAACACTTACCACTTCATGAAGCCGAGGCAACACACTTAACAACCAAACAACCCAAACACCGGCCAAAATGAAACAACATTCCTCCTCGAAACCAACACTTATTTCTCAAAAAACGAAATATTAAGAAATCATTGCAATGAATGAGAGTTCTGTTTTTTGTACGTATTCTGAAAATTTTTGTTTTAAAATATGCGCGTTCGGTGGAATTGGCGCTGATGTGATGGAAGGCTGTTGCTTTATTGGTTGGGTACCAGTGTTGTTTGGTTATTAATTGGTTGATTGGTACATTATCTTGGCAACGTGTTGGTGTTTACATTGTATGAGTGGATTTTAATTTTGTTGAACCCATAATATCAAGGAGATTTGGCTCCCAGAGTGCAACATCAATATTCTGTCTTAATTATGGAAATGTCGTGTTAAAAATTTGAATTCAAACAGTCGCCATTTCAGAACTCACAAGAAATGATCGAGATATTGGTTTGACGTATCTTCTTGCTGACTGTCTATTTTGAATTTATAGACGGGAATAATTTCAGAAAATAAAGACATTTCGACGTTTTCATTGTTGGAAAATATCGATAGTCGATCTTGGGAGCCAATCCTCCTTGCCATAATAGCTTGGCATCTCATGGATAGGAAAAAATGAGGTCCGGGTTTTCATGATGGTTTCAATGATAGATTTCTTGATTTGGTTATTGAAGAGACAAAAATTAATGAAATGATTGGACAAGTGTTTCTGGGAAGCTCGGTGATACCTTCTTGTTCATTTAGCTTTAATTCTGGATAATATAGAACATTGTTGTCTTTGTCTCACAATTTGGATGGCGTAGACAGACCGAAGAAAAAATGAATTTATTTTATAAGCATACACATGTATATTGAGCATGCATGGTTCAAAAACTGAAGGAAAACAATATATAATATAATATCCAATTATAAAAGTCTCATGACAATGATGCAGTTTTTAACTGAACAGTAAAATTTGGTGGAAATAAGCTATTGTTTGCAAAATCGTTGAAAATTGAGAAGGTGTTTTTGACCCCCTTGTCACATAACTAGTTGTATCTCAAGATAGGGTTGTTGAAAATTGTTCTATTATATATCATTTTGAACATGCAAATGTTGGTTGACATACGAATGATCCACGGTTTTAAATAATTTTAGCATTGCATCTATGGAGATTTGGCCAAAGTTCTTAAATCGTCATAGAAAATTATTCAAATTACATAACTGTGTAAATCAAAGCTAATAAAGGAGAAAACAGTTCACTGAATTCAAAGATGCTATTAAAAAGAAGGTAATGTAAGTCATTAGAGGTCTAATATGTAAATCTCTTAAAATCTCACGAAAAACGAGATTTAGCGAGATTTCAAAAGCTATATGGAAACTATACTATCGAACGTTAAATATGTAATAGTATAATTTCTGGGAATCACTGTTCCGAATACTCAAAATATTTCTGGATACCAGGGTGGTATCCTGAAATATCCTTAATTCGGATATGTTGAAAGTTGGAAACTTTGAGTATCCACAAATGTATTTTCAAGGATATTTCTGGATATTCAAAGTATCGGTAAACTATCGCATACTATACCATTTTCGCTCTTAATATAGCACACTATAAATGTAATAGCAGCCACGTCTGTTTGGTGAGATTGCTACGCTTGTTTGGCGTTGCTGTTATCCATTGAAATCTATGTGATCTATGTCTATATGAATGTCTGTATGAATGAAATGTCCCTTGGTCTTCTGGTCTTGGATTGTGATATTAGTTCTTGAATGGTGGGGGGAAGGGGGTATTAGACATTATTTCTTTTCACGTTAGATCATGTTTTTCTTGAATGGTATATGCACTTAAAGTTTGCTTTTTCTTGTTAAGTTCCATTACAACTTTTGGTCCTTTCCCTTTGTCACTTGTGCTTATATATCTATATCTATGCTATCTAGGTGAAATAAGACGGTTTTTGGCATTCTAATGACAGACTGTTTCTCAGGCGATTCGAAGTGTTATTTTACCTCTATTCTCACTGAAACACCCTGAATATAATGAGTTTATCAAAAGCATAGCAATGTGCATGATTCTTTGTTCTTACCCGTGTTTGCTCCTGCCCCTGAATTCATAAATGCGCCCGTTACGAAGTAGCAACATATAGGTATTTATTCAAAAAACGAATTTTTTTTTCAGTCGACGGTCTTTCTTGTACTTTTTACCCAATTCCCATGGAAGTTCCTGAAGATGCATTAGCATTAGATGTAAGTATCCTTATAGCATGTTTTATATTAATCCCCCATGTTTTCAGCATAGTTTTTATTTTCCTTTCATAATAAAAATACGTTCATCTACTTTCAATCGCTTAGGCATTTTAGGTAGTTAAAATTATTTAAAGATTTATATTAACCATATTTGAACGGTATCGATAATCGTTTGGGTTTGGAGCGGGACTTGGCGTCAAATAAGGTGGCATGTGGTCAGGAATTGTACTGGGGAAATTGATATTTATAGCAAGCCTGGACAAATTGTAACACTATATTTATCAATATTCTTTGTAAAACGAAAAATGTCATTTTCGTAAATAAGGAATAAGACGTTTTCTGACTTGCCCGAGATAAATTCATCATCAAATAAACAGTACTTTTTTTGTCATTTTGATACGTTCATGCGTATTGAATCAGAAGCTGGCACACTTTTGCCTGAAATTTGCAAGAAGTAACTTTTGACAAAAAAAAAATATGTAAGAGTAACCTGCTAGGTGTAAGAACATATACGACAATGTGCTTAAAAGTGGTAAAACAATTTTCACTGCCAAATTAGACCGTAATTCCTACAATTTAAAGGTATTAAATCAATTCATAACATAAAGGATATATTTGCTATTCTTCTGTTTTCTACAGCACAGATTACTCTTCCAGCGATGAATAATATCCTAGAGTTATAGTCCAGTATCTGTATTAGTCTCAGAAATATTGCAATTAATAGGATAATAATTCTGATGTGCTTTTGCACCAACAAATCTTGGTCGAATAATTTTAGCGTGCTTTTGCATCAACAATTCAAACTAAAAATACAATGTCATACTTGCCAATTTAGACACACTTGATCCATAGATCGATTCTGGTTCCTAATGAGGTGCAGCCTATCCATGAGGTAGTTGCGCCACGATAAGTGTTTAAAGGTTGGTAGTGAAAATTTGCAAACATGAGAGGTGATCCTGTGGCAAATGCCACGGAGGCCCTTAATAGTCCATGGTATGACTTCCGAATATGAAGGATCCGTAGCACACTCTAGCGCAGCAACATTTGAAGCAATATTTATGAAGGTGTACATGTCTTGATTCTTTTAAAATACCATTTGCTGAAATAACTTTCGGCTTTCGGGTCGAAAAATGTCTTTCATCAAAAGGGGTCAAAAAACGTAAATATTTTGGTTCGAACTTTTATACATTTTATAAGACACAGACCGTTATTCTAAGCATACGAACAAAAATAAATTATCATAATTTAAAAATATTCTGTTTAATTTTACCGTAGATGTCGGTGTTTAATTAGTGTAATTATGCAAGTGTGTTTTTCAGATTTTGTTTGATTTTTCAAATATGAGCCAAGCCGATTCAACAAAATTATGTGGAATATTTAGGTAATTTATGATTGAGAACATATTAGTTTTCTTACCATTTAAAATATTGTATTACCACAATTTTTCCATATAATCGCAAGGGGTCTAACAACAAACTATTGTTCATGTTTTACAAAACATAATACAATAACAAATAGGTAAGATTTATATCTAAATAAATGTTACAGAGGTATTGGAATGTTCACATATTCCAAGGGCATGTCTAATAATCAATTAAAGTCATATGCAATCGAACGCCCTGAAATTCTTCCTCGACGTTACTTGTGGCTATCATCAAGTTTTCCGATGGCTGTTTGTTTTGTGACCTTACCGCTGGATACAATCAAAGGACCTTATACACCCTCCATTGGGATCTCCCCATGGGAAAAAATAATTCATCTGATTTTTCAAAATGAGTATTCTGCTTCAATTATTACATTTATATGCACACTAGTATCTTGTTGACCTATATTCAGCACTGTATTGATGTATAGGCCACTTATTAGGGTCATAATTCAATCATGAAGTGTAGAGGCATAGATTCCAAACCAGGAAGTATTTTTGTGTCTGTCAAAATCCATTTAGATCCTACGCATCCCTGCATCTTATCCAAATATGTTACTACATAATGAAATATAATAGTATAATCTTTGGTTTTACAAACTTGTATGATATTTGATAAGTGTAAAAGTTGTTTTCGGAGCATTTTTCTATAGCCATTTTGTAGGGGAAAAAATGATGAAAAAATGTACAATCTTTTAATTTTAAGTATGACCTGAATCGATTGCAAACTTCATATTTGCACATTTGATGAGATAAACCATTTTTGTCGTATTGTGAAATTATTAAGTTTGCAATCGATTCAGGTCATAGTGTATTTTTGGTATTTCTGTGATAATCAATGGAAACCAATGGCCTCTATTGGGATCTGCTGATATCCTCATGTTAAGTCAATGGTACACAGCCCCATGTAAGTCAATACAACCTTACTGAACGAAATGATCCCTATCTCAGCTTATGTGTGTCCGAGCACTTTCATATTTTCCAAAGTATTATATTACATTTTATTCTTCATGTTACACCTACGAATGATTCATTTTGACCATAGGGATATTTGCCAATAATTGCACCTTGTCCTTTTAGGAAAATAATGATAACGATTTTTCTCATTTATTCATGAATTCTATCAAGTCTTGGTGGTTGTTTTATAAGCAACTGAGCTGTAACTAACTACGGGAAATAGAATTTTAGCTGTAGTCCCAATTAGTCAAGGAAGAGCAATAGGCCCGCCTTTATTGATAATTTTCTCCGCTGAATAAAAGTTCATATCTCAAAACGTATTGAGACCCCTTTTGTGAAAACCTAGCATAATTTAAACATTTGTCATTCCAATATAAAAGTGATTCATTTGTAGCATGTATCTTATTAATACCTGAGAAACAATCAAAACGTCGATACACTGAAAACATATTTTTTGGTATTGATAAAAAAAAACTCAAATTTATAGTTTAGAAACCTAAATCATATATTTAAAATCATTTTTTATTATTTTCTGTTGCATTGTGTACTCCAAATTGTGAAAAATTGGGATTTTATTTTTTGGTGATTTTTTGACCTCTGTTAATGGCAGGCAAAATTCAACCTAAAAGCCGGAAGTATATAGAACGGTTATAATAAAAATTATTAGGGGACATATGTAGGTATGTTAATGTAAGGTCAAATATCGCTGCGCTATAGTGTGCTACCAGCTCCTTTATTAGACGTCCTAGTAGGCCAGTCAATTGGTGAAAAAAACAGCCTAACCTAGGACAAATTGCAATAGTTTGCAAACTTAGTTTTAATTGTTGATCAATATTCACCTTATATCATATCAAAAATATAGGAAAATATAATGAGTGGACAAATGTCAAATTTTACTTCATAGGTACCCCCTAAGACCCACCCCTAAATTTGACTATTTGTTTAAAAAATGTTTTTTATCTATAATTGAATAGTTTTTTCAAGTTTTCTTGTTGTATTATGATAATAGAGATTTCATACCATGGACTATAACCTTTACTTCAATTCAAGCCTGATTTTAGAGACCAGATACCTCATTATATCCGGTCAACGCATTGTAATTCGCAACGTAAATAGCAAGATGTGAGCAAATCGATAGTATGCGGTCATTTCAAAGTCACACCAGTCACATCCGTATCTCGTTACGTTTACGAAAACGTATTTCGATAATTTTCGTTTTGTTCGTTTTTTGAAGTACGTAATTATAATCTCAATCCGTTTTCAATAGTAGTAAAAACTAGGGTCAAATAAAAGACTTCACCTGCACTAAGATTTCAATACACTATTGAGAGTGTCAGCTTTCAGAATCACAACTCCATTAGTAATATTGGTAAATGCAAAAATACATATTAACCCTTTCATCCTCAAAGGGCCATTTATTAATTGCATGAGATCAATTTCAAAATTTAGATTATCTGTTAGGCCAGAAAAGACTACTTCTAGGTTCACAATAACCAATGCAGTGTGAAATTATACTTTGGGGAATGTTTAAGGGTTTGAACACAGATAGGCTGAAATAGTGGTCATTAAGTGAAGTGCAGTGACTGCATTATGCTTCAAAATGGGTAAACATTTCTGTTTTCGGAAGAGGTGATATTTGATATATGAAATTAGTGTGTATATTTGAGTTTATTTATTTTTTCTTGAGAATATTAAGAATGCAGAAAGTGCGTTTTGTCTTAACATGAAAGCATACACGCTTTACGTAACATAAGTTCCAAAGGAGCACACGTAATCTAAACAAATGGTACAAGTGATCCACTATGTCATATTAAGCTTGAGTGAAATCCATCCAGCCAAATATTTGACCTCTATTGCAACCACTATTTACTCATTTACTCTATTTCACTCAAACGTAGAGTTCCCTGTTAAGCATGCATAATGTCTAATATGGGTGATTCTTATAAACAGTTTCTTAGACATAACAATCCATGTAGCCAATCGAGCCTTGCCCAAGTCGGTATCTTACCTTGATTTCTATACCATGGTGAAAGATATGACCGTCTAAAATCACTTGCCATACTGTACATGGACCTTTAAAATTACATCTGACCTGTTTTGTATGAAAAATCAACAAAAAATATATTATGTAAAAAGATTAATTAGCATTGTTTTTCTTTGATTCATTAAACAACGGAAGAACATCTCATCAGAGAATCAGAGAACTACGCAAAGCTAACGCACATCATACCTGTTGAATAACTGAAACAAGAGATTGCACTATATATGAATACATGTAGGTACCAAACCTATAATATACTAATAATGTGTACAAAATTATTTATCGGTCCCTTTGATTCTACACAGAATCAACTGATATACCAACAACATAATACCCTAAACTGACCATTTGTATCTAAACCACATAATACACCACAACCTGATCGGTAAGAGCCGGCAACTTGACATATGTAATCTTTTACAACTAAACACAAGCGATAATGAATTTACGATTAATGATGTCACATTTTATGCAAATGAGACAATTTGCATAATTATTACATCTTATAATATGGGATAGTATAAGAGCTTCACTTTGGTACCACTTACAGCTTACAATTCTCAAAACTGTGGAAGTTATTGTACTTTTAGATAATTAACATCAACTCTTTCAAAAATTCAAGATGGCCGCCAATGGATACCATGGGACAATATTTCATTCTGGGAACAAGCAAAAATCTTTAGTATGGACCTTTAGGATTACAAAAATGTACATTAAAATATATATCTTTGGGGTGCATGGGGACCATACCTTCCTACTAGACTAAACCGTCTGCACAATTCACGGTTGGATTTTTGAAACTACCCCATTTGAAGCAAGTGATCCACCTTGAAAACACCGTCTGCACGCAAGCCAGCATAAAATACCACTGCAGCTGTAGAGGAGCTATGTTTTTAGAAAATGTTGGTTAAATTCACATTTTCATTAATCATTTTTTCCCCTAGCGTCTGAGCGTGTTAATTATTTCTAGCTCACATGGTGAGCTATTGCAATCACTCACTTGTCCGTCATTTTGTTCGTGTTTAATTAATATTCACGTTTTGGCTATAATCAAAAAATCAGAATTGTACTTTGTCAACTGAGTTTACGTTACTGGGCGGGATTATGCTAGATAGGCAGTTTTCGATCGAAAAAACTGCAGCTTGACATGGGCATCGTGATCTTTGAATGAAACGAGACATCACGCGTCATGTATACATTTACTTTCATTTTGTTTTCAGATTCCTGGAGAGATAACATGTACCGAATATGCAAACGTAGCGATAGTATCAGGCGATCCAAAGAATGTGTTTAATATTCAAACTAACGGTGTTTCCAGCGACATTGTTTTGGATGGAAGTAAGATGTTGAGGATTAAATAATAATCTTTGAATTATTTGATGAATAGTATAAGACCTCCTCCATTATTTAATGCCGTGGTCACATTTGCTTCCGATCTTTAGCACCGGCGCCCGGCCGAATAGTATTTTGTTCAAACTTTAACAAAACACTCAATCGGCCGAGAGCCGTAGTAAAAAGTAAGGATTGATCGCTTTATTAATAGGCTGTTTGTATCTATCTTACCACAAAAGTGAACTTGCATTAAACATACATTTGGTCCGGAATTAAAGCATTTATTCCGAACCCTATTAAATACTGTCGTGTAAATATGTGCAATTCGTTATTAAATATTTTCAGCACTTGATTATGAAAAACAGCAAATGTACCAGTTGTTTATAGGAGCTACTTTCATTAAAGCCGTTTGGAATGGTGAAGTTAATATCACAGTGCTGGATGTAAATGATAATCCTCCAGTTTGTGAAAAGCAAATTTACGAAATTAATATTACCAGTGATTTCACACCTGTACCAGTAGGCACATCAGTGAGTATACGTTAATTACAAAAATAAAAATGTTTTAAAGGCCCAGTCTAAGATTTTAAAACCTGTTTTTATCATTAATACTAGTTTTTTACGGTTTTAAAAGTTATTTATAGATATTTTAAATAGAAATCCTGAAAAACTTGTCAGCTTTTTAATTCTCAAAATACAAATTTCACGCAATATTGACATCATCAAACATTTCACTATACATTGCAAAACATATTAAATTGTTAACACCATTGGGCGAAGAGGACATGCTATTTCAATAATAAAATGTGATATAATATGTGGCATATTAAAAAATGCTCCCTTAGTGAAAACATCTAGATGACATTTAGGGTGCAATTTTTTTTTTATTTATGTCAGCTTTTTTCTAAATACGCTAATTTTCAAAGTAAGCTAATGTTGATTGTCTAACAAGGTTGAACAGAAGAATGTATTGCGTTTTGAATATTACTGTACCATTGGTTTCTATGAGAACTTAGTTTTGAAATACATTTTTTCTATGAAAAACTTGCATGCATGGATTAGTTTAAAAAAAAGACGTAAAATAAGTCCATCAATTTCACCCCAAAATTTAGGTTATGGTATCAAGTAAGGGGACTTATCATCATAGTGCTTTTTGGGAAGGTTAAGACCTCTAAAGTAAGAAAATATGTGATAGCATTGCAACAGTGGTAGCTAAATGGATGTTATCACTCAGTTTTCGATATAACACCCCAGTCACATTTCCTACGGCGACCTTGCGGTCTATCATTTCTGCGGCCAGTAACATTTCCCCGCTTGCCGTGGAATTTCTGCGCTCTCATACTTTTGCAGTCACATTTCCCACGGCAGCCGCACGGTGAATTTTAAATTTCTGTTGATAAATGATACTTTTTCATTTTATTTACATCAGGACAATTTATAAATGTTATTCATAGTGCTAGGATGTAATATCAAATGAAAAGTGATCCAATCTTGTTGAGCCAGTTGATTTCTTCGGGGACCTCAGAAATGAACAAATATTATAACTCCGAGTTATAATTTCTACGGCGACCCTGCGGCCTGTAAAAAACTGGATACGCCGTATGGAGGTCGCAAGGCGAGTGTAGTTTTCCTACGCTCGCCGCAGAAATACACTGATTTAATTGATCTGCGGTCGACGCACGGCCTCCGTACGACAAATGTGACTGGGGTGTAAAAGTTATAGTATAAAAGTGGGAATATCTAAGCACACTGAAATGCAAAAAACTGTGATTTTAGGACCTACAGTATGTCTAGGTTTTGCAGTCAATATGGTACGATGACTTCTGCGCATGTTAAAATCTTTCGTCAAAGCTCAACTTTTGTTCAAGTTGATACGGTTGTCTTTCGAACTAGAGACTTACCTCATTCAAAAGATCCCAAAGACTTTATTTATACTAAAAATCTTACTTAGATCCCAGCATAGGAGAATGCGCCGTCAATCCGCTTTTAATTTTTAAAAGTGAGTTTAGTAGATCGTCAGATTTCTCCGACTGATATCGGTTTATCTCAAATTGGTTCGTTCATAAATACGATGATAATCATGGTAGAAGCGGGGCATTGATGGATATGGTAAAATTGAGATATATATTTTATTGTGAAGCTTTATGAAGTGAAACTCAGAATATCTTTATTTCAAACCACTATGGCCATTTCAACTGAAGGGCAACGACCTTCTTCAGCTGTAAAATATAGAAAAATATAGATAAAGATTCAAGATGATGCATTCTCTCATCAATTATCAAATAACGAAACACAGAACATCAGCTCGTGATACTTTTTTGCTGCAGTTGCTTTTTAGTATCAAAAGCATGTAATAATTGAGGAAAATTAAATGAAAACTCTTTGGTCAACATACAATTAAACAAAAGATAACCCTTCTTTTCTTTTTATTGCTCGCGATTTCAGCGGGAACTTGCTCGCGACCTCTTAATCATAACGGGGCTTGTGATATTACCCGTGCTCAAGTGAGCTATAATTGGATATATAGAGATTATCCTATATGAGGCTCAGGATATTGGGATTATCCCGAGGCAAATATAATATATTTGCCTGAGGGCCGACGATGACGACGACGACGACGACGACGACGACGACGACGACGCCGACGCCGACGCCGACGCCGACGCCGACGCCGACGCCGACGCCGACGACGACGACGACGACGAACAAGTCAAGATAGAGACATTTATACATTTAGGCTGGTTAAGCAAGTGCTTTTAATGTGCACCTAAAAATCCACAAAGAAACGTAGCCAACCACACTACCACAAAATCGGCTAACTGTTACAGTTTGTTTACAACTTCTGAATTATAATTTCTTAACTTCATTATAGTCAGTTTTAACACAAAATACTAATTTCAGTTATCTTATTAATGAAATCCCGTGTATGCAATTTGATTTATATAGGGTTATTATTTCAGATTTTGAATTTGACGTGTTCGGATAAGGATCTGTCTAATGAAAACAGTGGACTTACATATACAATAATAGGTGATCCTCGTGGATTCAACTTGGACAATGACGGGAAAGTCATAAATATAAAAGGTAAGTCTCCGAAAGCTCGGTATATTTTAAGTTATTCAATTATTCGAGTGAAATACAGAAATATTTAAGCACAAGTACCAAAGGGAAAGGACCACAAGTTGTAATGGAACTTAGCAAGAAAAAGCAAACTCTAAGTGCATACCAGTCAAGAAAAACAAACCGCATATAGCCCAAAACCATGATCTAACGTGAAAAGAAACAATGTCTAATACCCCCTTTCCCCACCATTCAAGAATCAATATCACAATCCTAGACCAGAAGACCAAGGGACATTTCATTCATACTGAAGTCATTACAATACATGTTGAAGAAAAAATTAGAAATTGATAGCCAATTGATAGCCAATACTCATAACCTCAAAAATAGTTGTAGATACAAGTACTCATACAAGATAGAGCTTTCAGTCTCAAATGATGTGGGATAGAAAAAATCCAGAATAAAATCAAAAAAGTTGATGGAGCTGTGAAATACGCTTCGGTATTTTTGACCACATGGTACTGAATCAGCCAATCAAATCACACGATTTCTAGCAACGATATAATAGTATAAGTTATTCAATGATTCGAGTGAAATACAGAAAATATTCTTCCCGAGTAGGTTGTATTTCACGATGCCCTAGCAGAGTGAAATATAGACGTTCAAGGGAAGAATATTTTCTGTATTTCACGAGAAATCATTGAATAACGTTTTTATTCCATGATTACCCATATAAAACTCGCCTAAATCATGTCCCTTGGCTTGGGGCCAGAAGAAACAGATCAACCTTAAGAAAAATATTTTAAAATGCTTTAGGCGGCCGAAAATTCAACAGCTAGACAATTTTTGAAATGATGTTAAAGGTTCAATTGCAAAAGCAAAATACCTTTATTTTATTGACAGTGAAGTTTTTTTTAAAAAGCCTGTCAAAATTCATTAAATTGGAATTTTTGATAAAACATTTATTTCCATGTTGGAAGTTGTCTCAAGAATAAAAACTTTCAAAAAATATTTTTAAAAATCTCAATGAGAATGGTTGTTCCATTGCAAATATAGAGTAAAAACACAACTGCATCATTCAACCTGTCCAGGGTACTATAGTGAAAATTGAATTATAATTATTATCATCATTATTTATGTAGTATACCTGTTATTGATTATAACAAGAGTTTACAATTATTTCAGAATTAAAAGGTACCGGTGATCAATATAAGTTGACGGTTCGTGTAAGTGATGGGACCTTTGAAACTAATGTAACGGTTTTAATTAATGAAGGTAAGCTGTCGAATCATTACATAATATGTAGCATACTGTACAATATAAGGTAATATCTTACACTAGCCATGTGCTTGTCATCATCTAATTTATAGCACATATCATATCAACACAAAAAAACAATGACAAATAATCATGTCAAAGACCATAAATATTTGAGCACAATGGTAATTTACTACTATAAAAGGAAAAGGTGATATCTTAATGTATGCTGAACCGATTATTACATGAAGCAAGAACCTCATGTGACTTTATGGTAAATCAATATAGCGGCAACTGTCCCTAGTTCGAGTTCAAAAAAATGAAAAGAGATTATCAAAAGAAATTACTTTTGGCGTAGAATAACACGCTAATTGTATTCTATAAGTTCCAAAGATTGGGGTTCTGAATGTTATGATCTTGTTTGATGGTATACATTTCACTATTTCGTAGTACAGGGTGTCCCAAAATTTACCGAGACAAACTTAAAATGATTCTATGATGATGTTTTGCGAAGTCCAAAGGGGCTTGAGGGGTATTTCATCAAGATAAGAATTAGAATATATTCGTCCGATGACCACTTAAATAGTTTTGTCATTGAGGCTGTTTTTGTATAAATAAGTATCCAATATTGGGTAGAAAATGACTGACTCTAAGCTCTTATGGATATGTGTTCACAATGTAGATATATACTTTTCATTGTTTCGATGACCTGGAGTGGAACGTGTGAAAAAAGTACAAAAAATGATTTGGTGAGCTGGATGGAGATTCTGTGTTTTTATATCCGATCAAGAATGATAAACAATTCTATATTGCAATTCAAACATGACCTAAATCATTAACATTTCATACAAGAATGCTTTTTCTTCCAGGTAGATCATCGGGTAACTCGACTGATTCTAGTAACGGTAAGTTGTCAGATTATAAACCAAAACATGAATTGTTATACAACGTCCATACTTTAAAGTAGAGTAAATAGACGCATTAGATATGAAATTTTACTATACTCAATTCAAGAATGCTTTTTCTTCCAGGTGACTCATCGGGTAACTCGACTGATTCTAGTAACGGTAAGTTGTCAGATTATAAATCATGACGTGAATCGTTATACTACGTTATACAACTTTCATAATTTTAAGTAGAGAAAACGGACGCATTTGATATGAAATTTTACTATACTCAATTCAAAATGAAACTACAAATCGAAATTTTGGACAAAAAAAGTTTTGCCGCATATATGAATTTTGATAACATCACATAACATCCATACAATGTATGGACTGCATTGATATTTTCCAACCTATTTATAAAATATGTTTGTGGTCATCTCCGAGGATTTCAAGGACTAAATGAAATACCTTTACGATACATATAATGTTTTCAATTATTTGTATCCCCCGACATAGCGCTTAAATTAGCATTGCTTCATTATTTGGAAATTGTGCCAAAAATGATACACAACGAAAATATCAAATTATTGGTGTCTTTGTTAGCTGTAAAATAGTCAAGGTATCCTCCAAACATTAAGAATCAGCTATCAACATATCGGATTTCGAATAATCACTTTTGGTAATGAAACTATTCGCATTTTGTATCTAAATGACTGTTGAATACATTCTTAATTATACCTTTGTTTGATAAATACGTAATGTGCAAAGCTTGTTTCGGAGGATACAGGTATTTTACAACTATAACATTTTGTGGATAGCTGTACATATATTTTGAAGTGTGAATTCCTCTCGCCTGATTTGTTTTAGTTTTTTCCTATGATCGACAAGTAATACACAGTATTGATATGGTCTGGTGTTTAGTTTCGACCTAATTAATATACTGTTGAAATTCAAAATCTCTGTCACACCATCAATGTATAAACATTAGATCCGGACATCTCATGTAAAGGTCCACAAATGGTTTTGTCCTTTAATAAGTTGACAGTTTGAATACATTTGTTAGAATTCGATCTTCCTCCGTATGTTGTGCAGTTTTGAATATTTTCTTGAGATCAAGGACTTCGTTTTACAACATCTGTCACATTGAATAAAAATACTTTTGCTTTTATTTGCTTTAGAATGCAATGGCGGTATTGTCGTCCCGTGGAATGATGGGGTGCAGTGCCTTTGTCCACCTCATAAGCAAGGTCGAAACTGTACCGATGGTAAGTTAAGGGTACTTTGATCGAAGCCGTCCAAAACTGTCCATATTTAATTGTTTTATACGTATGTCTCTTTTACAATTTTGAACTGAAAATAGAAAATGCTCGTCATTTAAAGTAAACAATTATGTTTAATACTGTAAACATTGGTTTCTTACGCTTCATTTTTAGATGTCCCGGATGTCGTCTCAGACTGCGAATGGCCCTCAAATGGTAAGTTCATTTTTAAGGGTGTATATTTTAACGTGTAGACTCTTCGTATTCTTAGAATTATTTCGCCCTTAATTACTAACCCGCACGAGTATAAACTTAAGGTATTTGTAAAATGTTGTACTTATGTCCCTAAAAACGAATTGAAAAGCGGATAGACGTATATGTTACTTCCAGTCCTGCTCCGGGAAGGTGCTGCTTTTTATTAACACATCAGAGAGAACTTAAAATGTCTATATATTTGAATATTGTAGATGGCGCATGTAGCTTAGACCCTTGCTACGGGGAAGGTGCGGTTTGTAATAACACATTTGGAGTGAACTTAAATGTCTATATATTTGAATATTGTAGATGACGCATGTAGCTTGGACCCTTGCTACAGGGAAGGTGCGGTATGTAATAACACATTTGGAGAGAATTTAAATGTCTATATATTTGAATATTGTAGATGACGCATGTAGCTTGGACCCTTGTTTCGGGGAAGATGCGGTATGTAATAACACATTCGGAGAGAACTTAAATGTCTATATATTTGAATATTGTAGATGACGCATGTAGGTTAGACCCTTGCTACGGGGAAGGTGCGGTATGTAATAACACATTTGGAGAGAACTTAAATGTCTATATATTTGAATATTGTAGATGACGCATGTAGGTTAGACCCTTGCTACGGGGAAGGTGCTGTATGTAATAACACATTTGGAGAGAACTTAAATGTCTATATATTTGAATATTGTAGATGACGCATGTAGGTTAGACCCTTGCTACAGGGAAGGTGCGGTATGTAAAACACATTTGGAGAGAACTTAAATGTCTATATATTTGAATATTGTAGATGACGCATGTAGCTTAGACCCTTGCTACAGGGAAGGTGCGGTATGTAATAACACATTTGGAGAGAACTTAAATGTTTATATATTTGAATATTGTAGATGACGCATGTAGCTTGGACCCTTGCTACGGGGAAGGTGCGGTATGTGATAACACATTTGGAGAGAACTTAAATGTCTATATATTTGAATATTGTAGATGACGCATGTAGCTTAGACCCTTGCTACAGGGAAGGTGCGGTATGTAATAACACATTTGGAGAGAACTTAAATGTCTATATATTTGAATATTGTAGATGTGGCATGTAGCTTAGACCCTTGCTACGGGGAAGGTGCGGTTTGTAATAACAAATTTGGAGTGAACTTAAATGTCTATATATTTGAATATTGTAGATGACGCATGTAGCTTAGACCCTTGCTACGGGGAAGGTGCGGTATGTGATAACACATTTGGAGAGAACTTAAATGTCTATATATTTGAATATTGTAGATGACGCATGTAGCTTAGACCCTTGCTACGGGGAAGGTGCGGTATGTGATAACACATTTGGAGAGAACTTAAATGTCTATATATTTGAATATTGTAGATGACGCATGTAGCTTGGACCCTTGCTACAGGGAGGATGCTGAATGTAATAACACATTCGGAGAGAACTTAAATGTCTATATATTTGAATATTGTAGATGACGCATGTAGCTTGGACCCTTGCTATGGGGAAGTTGCGGTATGTGATAACACATTCGGAGAGAACTTAAATGTTTAACAGGATCTTAAGAGGTTCTGGACAAATCATTACTTCGGGGAAGGTGCGGTATGTGATAACACATTTGGAGAGAACTTAAATGTCTATATATTTGAATATTGTAGATGACGCATGTAGCTTGGACCCTTGCTATGGGGAAGTTGCGGTATGTGATAACACATTCGGAGAGAACTTAAATGTTTAACAGGATCTTAAGAGGTTCTGGACAAATCATTACTTCGGGGAAGGTGCGGTATGTGATAACACATTTGGAGAGAACTTAAATGTCTATATATTTGAATATTGTAGATGACGCATGTAGCTTGGACCCTTGCTACAGGGAAGGTGCGGTATGTAATAACACATTTGGAGAGAACTTAAATGTCTATATATTTGAATATTGTAGATTACGTTTGTAGCTTAGACCCCTGCTACAGGGAAGGTGCGGTATGTAATAACACATTTGGAGAGAACTTAAATGTCTATATATTTGAATATTGTAGATTACGTTTGTAGCTTAGACCCCTGCTACAGGGAAGGTGCGGTATGTGATAACACATTCGGAGTGAACTTAAATGTCTATATATTTGAATATTGTAGATTACGCATGTAGCTTGGACCCTTGTTTCGGGGAAGATGCTGAATGTAATAACACATTTGGAGAGAACTTAAATGTCTATATATTTGAATATTGTAGATGACGCATGTAGGTTAGACCCTTGCTACAGGGAAGGTGCGGTATGTGATAACACATTCGGAGTGAACTTAAATGTCTATATATTTGAATATTGTAGATGACGCATGTAGCTTAGACCCTTGCTACAGGGAAGGTGCGGTATGTGATAACACATTCGGAGTGAACTTAAATGATTGTCTATATATTTGAATATTGTAGATGACGCATGTAGCTTGGACCCTTGCTATGGGGAAGGTGCGGTATGTAATAACACATTCGGAGAGAACTTAAATGTCTATATATTTGATTATTGTAGATGACGCATGTAGCTTGGACCCTTGCTATGGGGAAGGTGCGGTATGTAATAACACATTCGGAGAGAACTTAAATGTCTATATATTTGAATATTGTAGATGACGCATGTAGCTTGGACCCTTGTTTCGGGGAAGATGCGGTATGTAATAACACATTCGGAGAGAACTTAAATGTTTATATATTTGAATATTGTAGATGGCGCATGTAGCTTAGACCCTTGCTTCGGGGAAGGTGCGGTATGTGATAACACATTCGGAGAGAACTTAAATGTCTATATATTTGAATATTGTAGATGACGCATGTAGGTTAGACCCTTGCTACAGGGAAGGTGCGGTATGTAATAACACATTTGGAGTGAACTTAAATGTCTATATATTTGAATATTGTAGATGACGCATGTAGCTTGGACCCTTGCTACAGGGAAGGTGCGGTATGTAATAGCACATTTGGAGTGAACTTAAATGTCTATATATTTGAATATTGTAGATGACGCATGTAGCTTGGACCCTTGTTTCGGGGAAGATGCGGTATGTAATAACACATTTCGGAGAGAACTTAAATGTTTATATATTTGAATATTGTAGATGACGCATGTAGGTTAGACCCTTGCTACGGGGAAGGTGCGGTATGTAATAACACATTTGGAGAGAACTTAAATGTCTATATATTTGAATATTGTAGATGACGCATGTAGCTTGGACCCTTGCTACAGGGAAGGTGCGGTATGTAATAACACATTTGGAGAGAACTTAAATGTCTATATATTTGAATATTGTAGATGACGCATGTAGCTTAGACCCTTGTTTCGGGAAGATGCTGAATGTAATAACACATTCAGAGAGAACTTAAATGTCTATATATTTGAATATTGTAGATGACGCATGTAGGTTAGACCCTTGCTACGGGGAAGGTGCGGTATGTGATAACACATTCGGAGAGAACTTAAATGTCTATATATTTGAATATTGTAGATGACGCATGTAGGTTAGACCCTTGCTACGGGGAAGGTGCGGTATGTGATAACACATTCGGAGAGAACTTAAATGTCTATATATTTGAATATTGTAGATGACGCATGTAGCTTGGACCCTTGCTACAGGGAAGGTGCGGTATGTAATAACACATTTGGAGAGAACTTAAATGTCTATATATTTGAATATTGTAGATTACGTTTGTAGCTTAGACCCCTGCTACAGGGAAGGTGCGGTATGTAATAACACATTTGGAGAGAACTTAAATGTCTATATATTTGAATATTGTAGATTACGTTTGTAGCTTAGACCCCTGCTACAGGGAAGGTGCGGTATGTGATAACACATTCGGAGTGAACTTAAATGTCTATATATTTGAATATTGTAGATTACGCATGTAGCTTGGACCCTTGCTACAGGGAAGGTGCGGTATGTGATAACACATTCGGAGTGAACTTAAATGTCTATATATTTGAATATTGTAGATGACGCATGTAGGTTAGACCCTTGCTACGGGGAAGGTGCGGTATGTGATAACACATTCGGAGAGAACTTAAATGTCTATATATTTGAATATTGTAGATTACGCATGTAGCTTGGACCCTTGCTACAGGGAAGGTGCGGTATGTAAAACACATTTGGAGAGAACTTAAATGTCTATATATTTGAATATTGTAGATGACGCATGTAGGTTAGACCCTTGTTTCGGGGAAGATGCTGAATGTAATAACACATTTGGAGTGAACTTAAATGTCTATATATTTGAATATTGTAGATGACGCATGTAGGTTAGACCCTTGCTACAGGGAAGGTGCGGTATGTGATAACACATTCGGAGTGAACTTAAATGTCTATATATTTGAATATTGTAGATTACGTTTGTAGCTTAGACCCCTGCTACAGGGAAGGTGCGGTATGTAATAACACATTTGGAGAGAACTTAAATGTCTATATATTTGAATATTGTAGATTACGTTTGTAGCTTAGACCCCTGCTACAGGGAAGGTGCGGTATGTGATAACACATTCGGAGTGAACTTAAATGTCTATATATTTGAATATTGTAGATGATGCATGTAGGTTAGACCCTTGCTACAGGGAAGGTGCGGTATATGATAACACATTCGGAGTGAACTTAAATGTCTATATATTTGAATATTGTAGATGACGCATGTAGCTTAGACCCTTGCTACGGGGAAGGTGCGGTATGTAATAACACATTCGGAGAGAACTTAAATGTCTATATATTTGAATATTGTAGATGACGCATGTAGCTTAGACCCTTGCTACGGGGAAGATGCGGTATGTAATAACACATTCGGAGAGAACTTAAATGTCTATATATTTGAATATTGTAGATGACGCATGTAGCTTAGACCCTTGCAATGGGGAAGATGCTGAATGTAATAACACATTTGGAGAGAACTTAAATGATTGTCTATATATTTGAATATTGTAGATGACGCATG